ACAGGGGGTCTTCTTCTGCCTCCTGCCCTCCCTCCCTGCCCCTTCGGCGCCCTCTGCCTTTCGTTCTCTCTCTCCTCACCTGGAGAAAGAAGGGGGAGGGAGGGAGAGGAAAGAGAGAGAGAGAGAGGGAGATGGGAAAGAGAAAGAGAGAGAGAGGAAGCGCAAGTGCCTCTCTCTCTCCCTCTCTCTCTCCCTCTCTCTCTCCCTCTCTCTCTCTCACAAGCACACATACACACACACACACACACACTGAGTGGGGAAGAGGACTGGCAGAGCAAGGGCAGAAAGAGAGAGAGAGAGGGAGGGAGGGGGAGGGAGAGAGAGAGAGCCTTTTGACATCTAAAATGAAGATAACACTGAAGATATATATATATATATATATATATATATATATATATATATATATATATATATATATAATAAAGGTAAAAAAGGATATATGCAGTGTTATCTTCATTTTAGATGTCAAAAGGGTTTTGCGGCTCCCAGTGTTTTGTTTTCAGTGGTCATTACATTTAAGTGTCTTGAATAAATAAGATAATAATGAAATACGTGTATCATGAAGTTTGGGAATAAAGTGACGGGTGGCACCAAAATTTTTCACACAGTTGAGATATGGGGAAAAGACTGGAAATAAATTATTTGCATCATATGTCCTGATGACAATTTTAAAGAAAACAAAACAAGGGTTTGCATAAATTGAAGAATTATTTCCTATGTTGTGACTGAGAGGTTATGTTGGGGGAGGGGGGGCGATGACAACTTTCTCATTGGCTCAAGGGGGCGATTCGTTCAAAAAGGTTAAGAACCACTGCTTTAGAGGAACTTCCCTCAGGGTGGGAAATGCCCTTTCGACTGTAAAAGCAAGAGGCCAAACTCAGTTCAAGTTAGAAATATGTAGAATTGAACAAACCTTGCTGAGAATTAGGAAAATTGCCTTCAAAAGGAAACTTTGTTAATCTCACCAGCTTGAACACCCCCCAGTGTTTATAGCTAGCAAGAGAGACTGATGAGGACAGATGGACACAAGGAGGCATGCCATGGTCTTAAAAGGATGGATGTGTTTGAGAAAGTTGTTTAAGGATGGGAAAGGAAGCTGGAGATTTTGGGAGGGAACTTGCTGTCTTTTCTCGCAAACTCAAAAGAGCCTGATTTTTGGCATTGGGGGGGGGGTGTTAATGGGTGAGAGAAAGTAGGGCACATGGGAGACAAAACATCAGTTTCTATCTTAAAATCCCCTGTCCCAAGCTCCAGAACCTGACTCAAAATTATACTGCCAAACTTGAATTGTTTTGTCACTGAATTTAATTGGTGTAGTTCTGAGATGCTGGAAGATAGCAAATAGGATGCTCGGAGATGGACTGACTGAGCAGACTTTACTGGCTTCTCTATTCGAATCTCCAGGAAAACAATCATAGCTTAAGACATTACAAATCTCTAAATCCGCCCTCCACAACTTTCTCAGCCTCTCAAACCGCATCCAACTTTCTTATTCCTAATTAGGATGAGGGGAAAGATATTTCCCTGACAAGTCACTTCCTAGTACTTTGGAACAGACAGCTCCGAGCAACAATTAGGAAATATTCTCCTAGCAAAAACGTCATCAGTGACTGGGACAATTAAAACATTGTGTTGAAGCACTCCTGGCTTCATTAATTCTCTCCTATCTGTGTTGAGAAGTGGGCCCTGGATTTAAAAAAAAAAAAGTACTGAGGATGATTCTGGAATTAATTTCTCAGAAAAACACATCACTAAAATTAAAACAATTCAAATTCAAAAAAAACATGGAAGAAAAGGTTGAATCAGTAGTTTATAGTGCTACGGCTTGGATGCATGGAATGCATTATTCCTTCACCTTTTTCTCCCATCAGCTGCAATGCAGAAGGAATACAAATACTTGAAGAATGCATTTCGTATGTACCAGGTAAAGATTTAAACTGCCATCTAAGAATTGATGAAGTAGGGTTATCAAACTTGTGAATTTATGAGCATATTTAGAATTTGGAGATAGAACAGAGACACCTTTTTGCACCAGCCTCCAGTTGGCTGTGGCTTTCCCACAATGAGTGACTATTGCAAAGGCAGCCCACATGGGGCTACCCTTGAAAAGCATCCAGAAATTGCATGGCGGAAAGTACAGGAGGGAGTCTGATGTACTTTGAAATACATTTAAGCATTTTTTGGCATACTTCCCAAATTATCTTGTCTGATACCTCAGTGGAGGTATAGCTTCTTCTCCATTTCTGAACCTATTTGGGCAGATATGTATTTTTTCTCCTGGTGGAATCTCAAGTGGAAAAAAAATATGGAGGCTATCCAGACTGTAAAATATTATCCCCGATTCCTAATGAATATCCCATAAACATCAAGTTGTCCTTAATGTTAATGAGTTGCTGAAGCATTATTCAGGGATTAACCTCTCTCTTCCCTCCTCCTTTATTTAGCTATGTACTATCTACAGTATCTACCTACTTGCCTGCTTATCTCTACAGTCAAAAACATGTTATTATACAGAGTAATTTTTATTCTCAAAACTTATTTGAAAGCAGAAATTAAACTCTCTTCTTACTGAAAACTTATTTTTATTGAAAAAAATAGGTTTTTTTTCCTTTTTTTAACCTTTGTCTACAAGACTATTGTTAAATTTTGGGTTTTTTTTAATTTTACTAGTTTAGTATGCAAATGTGCAAGCAAGAACTGGTGAATTCTTCATATTTTGTAGAAGACAGTACAGAAGGTCCTTGACTTATGACCACAATTGAGCCCAAAATTTATGTTGCTAAGTGAGTGAGTTTTAGCCCCATTTTATGACTTTTCCAGCCACAGTTATTAAGTGAATCATTTCAGTTGTTAATTTAGTAACCCAGTTGTAAAGTGAATCTGGCGTCCCCATTGACTTTGCTTGTCAGAAGGTCGTAAAAGGTGATCACATGACCTTGGGACACTACAACTGTCATAAATATGAAGCAGTTGCCGAGCATCTGAATTCTGTTCACGTGACCATGGGGATGCAGCAATGGTCGGGTGAAAAATAATCATGTCACTTTCTAGTGCCATTGTAATTTCAAACAGTCACTATGGTTGTAAGTTGAGGACTACCTGTAGTTTATAATTCTCCCCTCCCAACCTGCATGCCTTTTGTGACTTCTCAATATCCCATGGAGTTCATGATTTATAAAGTCATATACGCGGTGTCTCAAACAGGAGAAAATAAGTCAAATTTAAAGCCTCCTGTGTACAGATGTGTTTATGGTTAATCCACACAACTGAAGGAGCCATAACCTCATGATGACTTTTGAAATATTTTTTTAATTGGATCACAATATCCTGTTTGATGTGAATGACAGATTTTAATACATCGATAGGCCGAACTGTTGCCTATATGCATTTCAAGCTGGTTGGTGGTTTTGTTTGCTTGTTTGTTTTGGTAGGATAGCATTTCTGATGAAATGGAAGAAAAATGGCTGAGAAGGCAGGCCGAATGGAAAAAAAGTGAGAGGACTGAGCGAGAAAAGGCATTATTACAACAAAGTAAGTAAAGGGAATGCACTAATCTTACACTACTGTGATCAAAGCACTATTTTCTGTTCTATCATTTTTATTATTATCCCATAACAAGTCCACAGGAAAATAAGCAAGGACACCCAAATGCTGCAGATGTTTTGGCTTATTTTACATGTATTATATAGTAATATATAGTATAAAATCATCTAAACAAATCCAGGTTATAATAACAACAGCAATAGCACTTAGACTTGTCCGAAATGGTATAGGGTTTCCTGCCTGAGCAGGGGGTTGGACTTGATAACTTCCAAGGTCCCTTCCAACTTTATTATTATTACTATTATTACTATTATTATTAATATTACTATTATTATTAGACTTATATGCTGCTTCACAGTGCTTTACAGCCCTCTCTAAGTGGTTTACAGAGTCAGCCTATTACCCCCAACAATCTCATTTTACTGTCCTCAGAAGGATGGAAGGCTGAGTCAACCGTCAGCCTTGACCCTGGCAGTCAGCAGAGTTAATCTGCAATACTGCATTCTAACCACTGTGCCACCATGGTTACTATAATATTAGTAGTTATAATTATATAATTAATAGTATTAATACTATAAAAATATAAAACTAATTATAAAATTAGTAAGCGTATCCTGAAACCAAGCATAAAGACTTAAGAGTTTTAAGACAACAAATTCACCAACTTTGGAATGAGGAGTAGTGTCAAGGGATGGGGGAAGAGGAGTCCAACATGTAAAATAGAGAACAAAATTGAACAAGGTGGGGAAACAGGCACACTGCATCATCCTAGGCTAATTGCCTAAGTAAATAAATAGAACATAACTCAAGTAAATATAAATATATTAAACAAATAGGAAGAAAATCAGTTGTCAAAAGCAGAAGAAAGCAAACAAATTAGCAAATGGAAGAAACAAAAAGCGACAAGAGAAACTATTTTACTAACAAGGAGCAGGCACCCGCATTTTGCCATATTGTATTTATGATTGGAGTTTTATCAGACAATAGAAGCAGCGTACAGAAATGCTTGGGATGTCTTGAAAAATGTATTAGCAAATGTGTAATATAGGTGCTGCATACATAGCTATTTATATCAAATTATGCTAAATTCATATGAGAGTTTCCAGGACTCAGGAACAAAACAATTAAGTAATACATTTTTTTAAAAAAACAAAGCCCAATCAGGATGGATCCTAGATGTTAAATGTTAAATTTAATTGAACACTTTTTCTATTTGTTAGGGTTGAATGTATGCTGTTTTGTATTTTATTCTCTGTAATATAACAATAAATATAAAAAAGAAAAAAAAACTTTTATTCTTTCCTCAGAGCAATCTTTAACAAGGAGATTTGAGATGGAATTAGAGGAGCAGAAGAAGATTATTCAGAATAACAGTTTTTTGCTAGGAAGAGTTTATGAACAGGAAAGAGAAGTAAGTGCATTTTGTACTTTTTAAAAGTTGCTTTGCTTTTTTCGGAAGGCTATTGTAACTTGAATTAAAAGCTTTTTCTTACAAATCTCAGCCATATAAACTTGTATTCTTATAATAGCCTGACTTACTGCTCTATTTTTTGTTTAGCACTAAAAGAGTAAAAAAAAAATTAAACAAAAGTCACAAACCATTAAAGCTTGCTTCTGAGTGGAACACAATTTCTTCAGGAATAATTAATCAGAAATCTTATCTATTCATTCATTCATTTCTTGGAGATTAGAATGCTCTTGGCCTTTCATAAGGCTTTAAAAATATGACTCTGTTCCCAAGCTTGGATACTGAAGGTGTTAAAGCCCCCATTTCCTGGCATTATTTTTAACTGGTTGACTATCTTAGCTGCTGTGTACATTTATTTTGGATGTTTTTATTGTTTTTATAGTTTTGGGATCGTAAGCCACCTAGAGTCATTGATTGAGATGGGCAGGTATAGAAATTAAATAAAGAAATAAATTCACGAAGCAAACAACTCCAAACAGAAGCAATAAAGGATTTTGAACTGATATTGTAAAATGGCTTTATTGCATGATTTTTATGATTGGGCAGACATCTTGCAAGTAAGGAAGGTCAGTACTGCAGTATCTCATTGGGTTATTTCAAACTGCTTTTTTTCATTCTCCTTTCAGTAATGGAGAAAGAGTAACCCTGTGGCATTAATGAGCCCAATTGTAAAGCAACTTTAGCCAGAGATGTAAAGGCATGGTGGTTAAAAGCTGGTTAACTTTCCATGAAGCCCAATGTTCTTGGTTAGGCAAACATGGATGCATTTTTTTAATGCATGGGAAGTAGCATTTTTCATAAATTAGTTAGAAGCAGAGAATAAGCCTCCAAGTTTCAATCTGAATGCAAGTTTTCGGTAAGATGTAAACTTAAGGAAACTTACTCGTAAGCCTATTTTCTTCCTATTGTCACACAGAATTGTTATACAAGTCTCATCCAGGGCATAGCTAGTCAGAGTGTGAATTGAGCTCCATAAGGGGAGACGCACCCTGAGACTTCATTGGGAGCTCACAAAAATATTAAGAATTGAAAGTGCATTTTCAAGTATATTTTTCTGTTAACTCCCTATCTTTTTTCTTTTCAGGAATTTCAGAAGCAGCAACAAACTGCCTTGGAAAATATAGACATGTTAAATGCCAAAATCAAGGCATGTGTATTGATTTTTTTAAAAATAATAAGTGCAATTGAGGCACCTATTTAATAAGTAGCAGCAGTGTGGCTTATTGTAGGCTTCCTCTTTATATATATTAGGTGCAGCTTTCCCAACATTCCACCTGCAGGTTGGGGCAAAGGAGAATTATTAGTGGGAATAATAATAATTTATTAAACTAATATTTGCTTTAGCATTTTGATTAGGTCCAGCAATCTTTGAGTGGATTAATGCCTTTTGAGCCATTAAGCAAATCTGTGAAGAACAAAGTTAGAGGAGAATTTCTAATATTGGAATATATTGGAATGTATAATTGGAATATAAATATCAATAATGTACTGGATATGTATAGCTATAACCATAAATGGAATCTGCAATAGAATGCTCTTGCTCAGTCTGCTGGCTAAGCTTTTTTTCAGGATACTTTAATCCATTTCATCTCCTTTCTCTCTCCAAGCAAAATAATTAAAAAGTTGACTGTTTTTTTAGCAAGCCCATGGAAACCCTACACGGCTATTAGATATTAACCACCTGGTGTTTTGGCATTTTCTTCCTCTGATATGGTGGTTGAATGTCATTTGTACTTTTTCTTTTTTGTTTTAAACTTTTGGTTTCATCACCTAGAATTGCTTTGGCATTTGGGGTAGATGATCAATTGAGTAAATAAATAATTTTCTGTCTTCGGCACCCTTTAAATATGGTCAGTGTTCACTGGCTTCTTCTTCTTCTTCTTCTTCTTCTTCTTCTTCTTCTTCTTCTTCTTCTTCTTCTTCTTCTTCTTCTTCTTCTTCTTCTTCTTCTTCTTCTTCTTCTTCTTCTTCTTCTTCTTCTTCTTCTTCTTCTTCTTCTTCTTCTTCTTCTTCTTCTTCTTCTTCTTCTTCTTCTTCTTCTTCTTCTTCTTCTTCTTCTTCTTCTTCTTCTTCTTCTTCTTCTTCTTCTTCTTCTTCTTCTTCTTCTTCTTCTTCTTCTTCTTCTTCTTCTTTGCAATGGAAGCTTTGCCTTCAAAGAATTCTTCTATTTCCATTAATGGGAAATAGGCAAGTTTGCCAATACATTCTTTTGACCATTAAATGTTAAGTTCAGTGTAAGTACAGTATATACAAATTAAGAATTGGTTTATTCCCTGCCACTGCAATTCAAGGGATCATCTGAGAATTCCTGCACAAGCAAGGCTTCTGCATCTATGCCGAGTCTAGTTTTGAACCTTCTAGAGTTTACAGAGTTATTTTACAGGATCCCCACTCTCCATGCATACCAAGCAACAGGTGAAGCTCCTACAGAACGTCTTCAGTTCCTAAGACCATCATAGTGGATTTGAAGGGAATAGTGAGATCACATGATACCAAATGGGGCTAAGAGGATAACATGTTGTGAAGTAACAGATTATCACCTGAACTCCATTTACAGGGAGATAAGCAGCTCTTCATTATGATCTCTATAATTCATATACATGGAGAAGATCTAGCTGTCCTAAGATGATCAAACAGAAGATAGTTCTTCCAAAAGTTGGATCATCTAAAGATTGGTCCCACCTATAAGGTTTGATTGAGGGGTTGGGCTGAGCTCATCTGGCTGCCAATAGAGTTCTAGTTGGGAATTTCTCTAAGGAAAGCAATCAATATTGCCGTTAGTCTTGTGCTGTGTGTGTGAACAGAAATGGGGCACTGTTTTTTGGTTAAATTATACCATTACTTGAACTTTGCCACTGAAATGCTGGAGGGGAACACAACAAACTTTAGATGAAGGAGAGCATGCAGAAAATCCAAAGAACAAGCGACTATTTCCTTTGATGTAGAAAAGATGAGAACATGATGTGGAGATATATGGGAGAGGCCCCTTTCAGCTGTGCCTCTTGGCCCTCCCCAATGCCAGTCTGGCTGCATAGAACTGATGCAGCTTCTGCTTATGAGTTACTGTACTGTAGTAATTTCTTGCCGCCCATTCCAATCTTCCTGGAGGGGGGGGGGGGAAGCCTTGTTTAACCCAAGCTTATCTGAGAGAGGGGACATGCTTAATTTACCTGTAACCGTAATAATAATGGCTGTGATAACAACAATGGTGATAATAACTATAATAATGAAACAGAAAACTAATTCTCTATCTTTTTAGCATAATAACCGTGAGGCTTTTGGTCAGAGAACAGCAATCCTGTCTCCTTTTGAGGGAGACATTTAAAGCATCAGTCTTGTGATTTACAAATCAGTTTTATTAGATATAAAGTAATACGTTCTTTTAGCTTGGGTAGCCAAATATCCAAACAATTTCAATGAGATAGTATAAGGCATTTATGGCTGATGAAAATCCAGTGTCTTCCACGTGAGTTTCCCACGTTATCCAAGGTGCAGGTTGGACACAGATCCAGATGGACAGGATTCAAAGGGCAAAGAACGTAAGATGGAATGAAGCCTACAAGGATGAGGTTTCAATAAAAATAGTAAATCTGATTCAAAAATCAAAGGCATTTTTAAAAACAATTAGACACATTCAAAATACCAAAGAACATGCAGCAGGTTTTTGTTTGCTTGTTTTTTATTGATTCCTAACAACTGCCTGGGTAAGTCCCTGCAATTTTCCTGGCAGGTTTTTGGGAAATAGTTTGTCACTGCCTCCTTCATAAGGCTGAGAGTGAATGACTGGCCCAAGGTTACCCAGATGGCTTTATGCTTTAAGATGAGGCTAGACCCCCCCTATAGTAGATTAGCATGTTAAAGCAAAATTATCTGAATGTAGATCCTGGTCAAGAGAGTCTACTTTATCTCTAAGACAGTGGTTCTCAACCTTTTTTTTGTGGCGACCCCGGTCATAAGGGCGCGCCGTGCATGACAAAAAAAATGGCGGATCGCATTGTTTGGCGACCCCCGTGAAATGGTCGTTCGACCCCAAATGGGGTCGCGACCCACAGGTTGAGAACCGCTGCTCTAAGAGGAAGGATTTCTCTACCCAGTTTGCTTCTTCAGCTGCCTGGTTCTGATTAACTGACTTCTGCAATTGCAACTTTCAAGCTTCTGTCTGGATCATATTCAGCACCTTTCAATAAGTGTCTTATTTTGTTTCAAGACAAACCTTTTTTTTTTTCACAGCAAAGGTGAGGCTGAGGTGAAGAAGTCTAGGTTTTCTCTTAGCCCCTTTGCTTAAGACTTGGACATTTTGTTTTAGCTGTGGAAATCCAAACTCGACTTCCTTATCCAATCGTGCCTTTGCATGTGTGCCTTGATGAAGATATTAGTTCATGCTTGAGAATCAGCTTCAATTTTCCAGAAGCTAAATGAATGTGGGAAAGCAAAGGGCTTGCCATGCCTTTGTAAGTGAATGGGTTTGCCCACTCACTGCAGACTTTAATAGAGACAAAAAGGGAGAAGCTGCAGGTCAGAGGAGGCAGTGGACTTGCAATCTGTCTCACATCTAACCCATATCTATATAACCACCCTAACTTCTTCTCCGTCCCACTCCAATTTAAATCTTGCATTGGCCGAGCCACTCTGTGCATCTTCTGATGAAGTGAAAGCTTATAGTTCATGAAAGCTTATGCCTTTCAATAAAAGTTGTCAGTCAGAAAAAGTGCCCAGCAAATTTCTTTGCTAGGTCTTTCATGAAATGGTTTATTGGTGGGTTAGAAAAAAGTAAAGGAGAGCGAGAAAGCTACTCTTAGGTATTTTAAACATGAGCAAAAGAGCTAAAATGCGATTGCTAGCATATAATTGATTTTCTATTTAGATACATAAGAAGTCCATGAGAAAGACTTCTGAAAAACTAACAAAAATTGCTTCAGTTTGTCTCAAATAGCTTGTAGAAATGAATGATGATGTATCAAGATCCAAATGAAAAGCTTGTCTGTGATAAAGAGTAGTAGAAGACGACAATTTGGAAGGGAGAAGTATTCATGACACAAAACAGAGGAATGGAATAAGCCATAACTCTTAAGATGTGGGGAAGTGTGTAGTTGGTCTTCCCCAAGGCACTGGTAAACATGAGGGGGAAAAGGTAATGATTAACTGTTGAGATAGGCAGCTGTAGAATTCATTCAGTCAAACAAATAAATAAAACATTCCATTAAAAATTAGTAAGGAACTGGAGGTCCAGCCAACTCCTATTTGAGATAAGATTGCTCTAACCAAGATATTCCTCTGTTTTCTGCATAAATGCTTTCTATCCTATAAGTTTGATTTGGTTGGCCCCATATAACCTGAATCCCTGATATGCACAATATTGTCTGGAAAGTTAACTCTAGTAAGTGTACTTGATTTTACTGTAAAATAAAGTTGCACATTTTCATGGAACAACTGTGGAAATGTGATGCAAATGTGATGCAAATGCTTGAAATTATTTTAAAAAATGTTTTTATCCAATAAAAGAGATTGGAGAATGACTTGAATGAGAAGAACGAAACTCTTCATGCTATTGCTTCATCTCTTCACAAAACAGAGATAGAACTTCAGAAGGAGGTGAGATCTGTGATGTGACTTTTGAAACTTATCTAACGGTACTTTTTAGTTGCTGGTGGTAGGTGATTATTTTTTCTAAAAAAGATAGCCCGTCTTTCCTTTTAATAATCCCCCAAAGAGCTCAGAATAGGATCATTCTACATCTTTGTGTACCCAGTAACATTGGCTCCTTCCCAGTGACTGGGATCCAAATATTGTCACTCTGCAGTTCCGGGGTTTTTTTTTTTTATTCTTGAGGAGGATAGCAAACTCCTTGTTCCTCCGGCTGCCTTGGGGATGGGTAGGTCTCCTAGCTTTTGCCTAGAATGCTCTTCCTCAAAGGCCAGAGGCATAATCGCCCAATCAGCCGTGCTTGCATGCTAGGAGCTTTTCTTTACCTCTGCAAGAGGCAGCTTTCATCTGCATCAATATTTAATGTATATCCTTTTTTATTCCAATAAATCCTGTGGCCTTTGGTGAAGTGTACCTCTATGTGTGGTTGTCCAGCAACAGCAAAGTCAGATCCCAAGTTCAGCTACTGTTCCACGGATGCTCTTGAAATGGGCATTAATCATTTTGTCTCTTTTCCCTATCATGCCCAACAGAAATAAACTTAAACTTAAAGTCTGGTTTTCTGCTCTGCTAATGTGCCATCCGCTAAATACTACATAACTGAGAATTCTGAAATGTGGCCTATTTAATGGTTGCTGTAGTTGCTTTCAATTGCCTCTGGTTTTCTTTGTCTCCCACTGCTATAGTCCCTTGTCATGGAACCTTACTCCTGCAACTCTCTCTTACTTGCTTATCACTCAGTCCTCCCAAACAAGGCAGAGGCAAGAGATTGTGCAAATCATTGAGTCAATGCATTAATTCTTTGTGCAAGCAAAGTTTTGTTTAAGAAGGAGAGGAAAACATATGGGGAGAGCAAGACATGAGAATAGCTAACAAGCATAGCATTAATAAGACAATGGCAAGAGCAAAAAATGTAAGATTCATCTTTTGTTTACTGAATAGAGCAAAATTGTTGATTGTGTAATCATACCAGAATGTGCAATGTAATAAACACCGGATTATTATTCTGAGGAACTGTTAAATGAACAGATATTGGCACTGAATCTGGAGAAGAGAATTCATACTGTAGAATACAAGAATACAGAGAATACAAGAATGGCAGAATTAGTAGAGATGACTGCAGGAATTAAAACTGGAGATCAGAACATTAATGTGAGATTTGCAGACACCATCATTTGTAGCCAAAAACAAGGAAGAAAAGCTCATTAGGAAATAAAAATAGTTAAAATCTGGGTTGTTAAATATCAACAAAGATAAGGTCAACCAGCAGTGATGCGGTAGTTTTAAGTTAGTGATTCTGTTCAAGTTTGGGGACAGTCAGTTAAAATTCCATCCTTTCTTGTATAGTGACCAAGCAAATGACTACCTCTAAAAAGAAATGGCCACAAGGTACTTAATATTTTAGATAAAAATTCTCTAGTTCAATGCTAATTTAAAGAGTGCTCAGATATCAATGGTCTTCCAAATAATGGCAGGAGAAGATTTCACTGATGATAGAAGTTTGCTGATGATAAGGAAATCAGTATGTTACTTCCCACTTTTCCAAAACCCAGTTTGTTTTCTCCACTATAGAAAGCCAAAATGGCAGAGACAGAGAAAACTCTCCAACAAAAACTAGTAGCTGTTGAAGAGAAATATCGAATTAATATAGCTTCTTTGACAGAAGAAAACAACATTTTGAGGTGGGGGAAAAAACCTTGTAAAATCCAAAACAGTAAGCTTTGGACAAAAACAGAAGTTTTTTTAAGCTTTGCAGATTCACTGAGGTTTGTGAAACAAACCATGCTAAGATGATAAGATTTCCAATTTATTTATTAAAATTGTCTACTGCCTATCTGTGAGGTGATTTATATATACTTGAATTAAATTATTTGGCTTTGTGTGGGTAGGAGACGGTATATGGAGAATACCTATCAAGATTAGGTGTTCATTCTGAATACTTGCATCTTATTAGCTTGGTGAGATTATTTGCCAAATTCACCCTTCTGGAAGATTTTTTAGTTTAGGGGTGACAAGGGCAAAGACATAGGGAGGAAAGAAGAGATTTCAGAAAATCTTAATGACTGGGAAGCCAAATGTCTAAATTTCTTGTCCTTGGAAATATTTGCTGTTAAAATAAACATTTAAAATTATTGTTAGAACTGCATGTAGTAACATTCAGTAATAACAGAATTGTATTATACATTGATTTAATAGCTAAAATTCCAGCTGCAATATTCTGTGTCACTAGGACAATTGAATTTGCTTTTGAGATAAGAACTTGGAAAGAACTGCACTAAAATTATGCTTTTAGACTTTTCTTCCAAAATGCAAGTGTTCCTATATCTTCCAAGCACTTTTATCTAATCGTGGAGTCACCACATCAACTAAAAAAACAAAATACTGACATACTCAAATGTGGCATGCTGGATAATAAACAAAAGAGCCTTTAACTTCAATGTACAGAATCAAGCCTAAAAAGTGACTTTTTCCACAACCCAATTTGAATTTATAAATCAATTCAAGGTGTGCTTTGGTACATGAGTGCCCTTGCCACACATGGTTATAACTTCGCCTAACAAAACATTTGATACTTCTAGTTCATGGGTCGGCAACCCACGGCTCCGGAGCTACATGCAGCTCTTTGAGCCATCCCCTGTGGCTCCGGATCCTCCTCCGCCATTTGCAGAAAGAGACAAAGAGAGAGAGAGAGAGAGAGAGGCACTTGCGCTCTCCCCTCTATCTCATGCGGACTTGCCCCCTCACTGGGCTCCTGATTGGCCCTGCGCCTGGGTGCCCCGCCCCCTGGGAGAAGGGCAACCAGGAAGTCTCTTTCCTGGGCTGGCCCCATCCCAGGCGCATGTGGCTGGGGAGCCGCACGGGGAAGCCCTGGGATCTCGCTGGGAGTGGCCCGCCGGAGCCTCTGCTGATTGGGCCAGCCCTCCCGCAAGCCGCAGCCCTGAGAGCAGCCTCTGCGATGCCCAGCTGCTGCAACTGTTGGCCAAGCAGCAGCAGAGCTAGAGATGGAGGATCAGTGGTGGTGGGGGATCCAAGTCCACGGAGTGCCGCCACAAAGTGGCCATGGGGCAGGTGGTGCGCCCTCCGGTTTACCTGTACCAGGCGGAAGTCCCGGCTGGGGCATCACTTCCTGGGCTGTCCCCGGGCTGCTCCCTGTCCAGCCGGGCGGGGTGACAGTTCTGGCTGGGCCGGCAGCCGGCAGGGGCATCGCTCCCTGGTCCGTCCCCGGGCCGATCCCTGGGCAGCCGAGCCAATCACGTCTCCCCGGGCTGGTCCGTGGTGCCCCAGGTGCCTTCTGCTGCCTCCTGTCCCCTCACACGCTTGGCCTTCCCGGAACCTCCGCCCATTTTCCCACGCCCAGAGCAGGAGAGTATATGCTGCTTTCTGGGCATCGGAAGGTGCTTCCCCTTCCCAGCCCTCCGTCCACCAGGGCGGGGATGCTCCTCTGGACTGGGACCATGCGAATCGCAGCACTCCTCCTTTCCCGCCGTCCAGCCTGGCCCAGCTCACCCTCCTGCACAATTTGGCTGGCTGGCCAGAAATCCCGTCCAGCTTGGTGGGGAGCTCGGGGGCACCTGACTGCCGCGGTGGTGTCCACGTCAGCCACCTCCTAATTGCACCCCACAAGAGCCCGACAGAGCCCCGGCCTGATTTCCGAAACGCCGCTTGCCCGAATTCTTTCAGCCTCCTGGGGGAAGTTGCGCCTTGTGGCCCAATTACTGTGGGTGTCGTTGTGCATCTAATCACCAAACGCCTTTGAACCGTGGGCCAGGAGAAATGTCATCCATCCCGCTGAACTGAGTTGGGACCGAGGGAAAGGAGGAGAAAAAAAGAAAGCAGGCAGCGCTTTGCTAGAATGGAGGGGTCGGAGGCTTTGGAGCAGGAGCCTTGAAGGGGGAAAAGAGAGGCTCTGCTTTTCAGGGGTGCTGCCTTGCAAGCAGCCCGAATATCGGCCTCGTGTTCAGTCGCCCCACGTGTAAAGGCTGCTGCCGTGGCTGCATTCACATTTGCGGCGCTTGGCTAGTTTTCTGTCATGGTGTGAACTCAGCCGCGTCGGCCTCCTGGATGCTGTACCGGGAAGCTGAGCTCGATTCCCCTGGAGCTGTTGTGAGGCGCAGCCAAAAGTGAGCCCTGCAGCCGCCTCACCTGTCCCACCCCATCAGCAGCGCCCCCGCGAAGCCTTCGCCATGAAGCCATCTTCCCCCTTTCCCCCCCCCAGATCCCCCAAACAGCGTCCAACCAAACAGCTAACAGAAGCACACAAGGCAGCCTCGTCACTCAATATATAGGTTTCTTTTAATATAAATAAAAAGTGTCTATTAAAAATTCCTTCCTAAATACACAAAAAGACCAATTAGGGTGCAGGAGAGGGAGCAGCAAAAGAAAAAAAAAAAGAGTGGTGGTGGGGGGACTCAGGGGCTGGATGAAGATGATTTTTTTGGCCAGGGAGAGGAATCGAGCAAGCAGCAGCGGCTTAGATGGTGCCAATCCAGAGGATTTGAGTGTGTTCGTCTCCAAGCAACTACCAAGGCTGGTATATTTAGATGCACAAATGAACAACACAGGATGGGGTGGTTTTTTCCCCCTTTGTTTTCTTTTCTGCACGATCCACAAAGCTGTACAGAGGTTTCCAAAACAGGAAAAGGAGGGAATAGAGAGGACAAAAGGTGGGCGGGGGGGGAGCGGGCAGTCGCACATTTGCGTACACGCGCACGCACACACCCTGAGCTCAGCACTGGCATAAAGGGGCGCACACAGAGGAGGGAATACTGTACTTATTTGGGCTTACAGGTGGCCAATGAGAACTAAGAAAACTTTGTTCCCTTTCCCCCCTCCCTTCCCCCTTCTTCAGCGAAAGGGTATATTAGCTTGTCTATTTTTTTCCTAGATTTTTTTTTTTAATACAAACTTGGGTCTGTGGGTGTGTCCTGCCAAAAAAAACCCCAAACAAATCCAAAACAATTTTTTTAAAACTCCCCGAAACAATAGAAAAGCAACTGAAAACCTCAATGAAACCCATGCTGAAATTTGCACATCACAAAACCACAGCAGAGGTACAGATGCAATATAATATCCACGATTTGTAATAAAACATTATAGACAATAAATAGGTTCTTGTTATTTTTTTGTCAATCTGCAAATAGATATCTCAGTGCACATCTGACACAATTAGCTTCTCTTCTGCTTTGACTCTCTGGCCTCTTTTTTTTTTTTTGGTCTTCAAAACATTTCAGATTTTGAATATTTGTGTGTGTGTGTGGGAATATACATCTTCATGGCGTTTGCTCTTTTGTAATTTTTCTTTTTACATTTTTGAAAAGTATTTACAATTGCTGGTTTTGTGCAGATAGAAAAGGCCTGTTTCCCTCAACCCGTCCTCCCTCCTTGCTTCCAATGGAGAAGACTTGCGAGCTTCTTCAGGTCAAATCCATCCAGCACTAAGGGGCAGAGAGGGGCAGTAACAGAGGAGCTCGGCGGGAGCTCAGGGGCCGTCTGATTGCCGCAGAGGTGTCCACGTCAGCTGCCTCCTGGCAGGCCCGCTAATTGTGGGCTCCCAGCCGGCTTCCTCCATGAGTCAGGCACCCGGGACTCCACGGAGCCGCCCCTAATTGCGTCCTGCGAGGTCCCGACCGAGCCCCGGCCTGATCTCCAAAACGCTGCTTGCCCAAATTTTTTCTGCCTCCTGGGGGAAGTTGCGCCTCATGGCCCAATTATTGTGGGCATTGTTGTTGTGCGTCTAATCAGCAAACCACCACATGAAATGGTCACACCCGTGTTCCTAGGACAAGAAGCTGGGCGTTATTCCAGCGTGGTCACTTAATTTGGATGCTTCTGTTGTTTTTATTGGTTTTCCTGTCATTACTCTTTTAAAAAGTGTTTAGTGTTTTTAATTGTAATACATTTTTGAACTGTAAGCCGCCCAGAGTCACTGAAAGGGGCAACCAGAGATATTGAGGGGAGAGGAAAGAGAGTGAGAGAGAGAGAAAGAGAGAGTGAGAGGAAAGAGAGGGGGAAAGACAGAGAGAGGAAAGAGAGAGAGGAAAGAGAGAGAGCGGGAAAGGAAAGAGAGAGGAAAGAGAAAGGGAGAGGAAAGAGAGAGGGAAAAGAAAGAGAGGAAAGAGAAAGAAAGAGGGAGAGGGAGAGGGAGAAAGAGAGAGAGAAGAAAGAGAGGGAAAGTAGAGAGAGAGAGAGAGAGAGGAAAGAGGGAGGGGGGAGAGAGATACCCTTTTGACATCTATCTTCATTTTAGATATCAAAAGGGTTTTGCGGCTCCCAGTGTTTTGTTTTCAGTGGGAAACAGGTCCAAGTGGCTCTTTGAGTGTTTTGGGTTGCCTACCCGTTCTAGTTGTTTTAGCACAGAATTTCAACCAGCTTCTTATAAACCACTTGATTGTGCAATGAGTGACACACAATGTGAGGGGGAAATTGGGTGTGTGTATCACTCCTCAATACGATCTGGGATTGAGGGAAATGGTTTCCAACATTTTGTATACTATGGTTTCTGGAGTCTCCCTGTACAAAGGCAGAAAAAAAAACATTGCTCTTTTTCCCTCCTCAGACACAAGCTTATTGAGAAGAATGAAGAGATATTTAATGCCCAAAAAGGTAGTGTTTTTGGATTGCTTGATTAGAGCTACGCATGAAGAATTGGCTTATGGAGACTTGTGTGAAGCTGTTTCTTCAGAACATCAGGCCGAAGCTGGAAGACCAGAAGTGTTAAAGATTACTTACATATATGTATCATTATGTTTTTCATTTTATTTTTATCAGTTACTGCCCAATAGTTTTGTGCCATTTTTTTTCCCTCATTAGCTGACAAATAGAATAAATGTTTCCTTGGCCATATGGTGGACATGTTATGATATACATTATATAAAAAGGGCATAACCTGATCCTGTAGATTTAAGTCCATAGCTAAATGACTAGACATAAAGTAAAACATAAGCTGTCAAATTATAATTAAAATATTATTTGTTAGAACCTTAAATATCAGAGACCCAAGCTTCTGCATTGAAGTTTTTATGAACTGGCTCCAGTATTTCCTTGGAAGCCCATCTGGGGACGTAGAACCATCTATCTAGAACTGTTCTCATTATGTTTGGCAACTGTTGCACAGTGTACTTAAAACACTGAAATGATCATCAGTAAAAAGGAGCTGAATTTTAGAGATACACAGCACTTCAGATCTGAAGCCAAAAGGCACTATTGGTGCTTCCATAACCCATAATGTTCGTGGGATTGTATAGCTCACAGGTCGACAACCTGCGGCTCCGGAGCCGCATGCGGCTCTTTGAGCCTTCCCCTGTGGCTCCCAGCCTCCTCTGCCTTTGCAGAGAGAGACAGAGACAGAGAGAGGCAATTGCGCTTCTCTGCTTCTCTCTCTCTCTCTGTGTTTGTGTGTGTAAAAAAGAGAGTGCACTTACAGTATTCTCCGCGGAGCTGAAAAGCTTTCTGGGCGGAGCTCCTCCCTTTGCTGCGTCTCTGCAGGAAGCAGGAAGGGCAGGAGAGAGCTAGCTAGCCCAGCTAGGCTGACTCAGGAATTCTGGCAGTTGAAGTCCATGAGTCATAAAAGAGACGAGGTTGCCTACCCCTGACCTTGTTGGACAACAGCTTGAAGCTTGCCAGGTGAGCAGCAGATAGGAGGGGGGGGGGGAGAAAGAGAGAGAGAGAAAGAGAGAGAGAGGGAGAGAGAGAGTGGGGGAAGAGGAGTGGCAGACCAAGGGCAGATAGAGAGGGAGGGAGAGAGAGACCTTTTTGACATCTAAAATGAAGATAACACTGCATATATCCTTTTTGTACCTGTGTGTGTATGTAATTTTATTCTCTTAAAGCATTCTCTTGGTGATCATTGTTTTAATAGTATGGATATTCCCAAGAGTCATATTTTTACTTTTATTTTTAATGTGTGTGTGTGTGTGTGTATATATATACATACACATACATACACACACACACACACACACACACACACACACACACACCTATAATAAAGGTAAAAAAGGATATATGCAGTGTTATCTTCATTTTACATATCAAAAGGTTTTGCGGCTCCCGGTGTTTTGTTTTTGGTGGGAAACGGGTCCAAGTGGCTCTTTGAGTGTTTTGGGTTGCCTACCCCTGGTATAGCTACTGAAAGGACAGCTTCTTTAAAGTGTGCACACGGCCCCAGACTTGCTCCAATCTCCTATTTGGCTCTAAATCAGGGGTAGTCAACCTTGGCTCTTTTATGACTCGTGGAGTTGAAGTCCACAAGTCATAAAAGAGCCAAGGTTGACTACCCCTGCTCTAAATCCTGGAATGTGAGTCTACGTGTGAGATTCTGCCTATTTTCTAGAAGATACAAACTTTTTTTCCCCAAAATATATAGCAAACCAAGACTTCTGTTACTTCTTTCCTGATACAAGTTTTTTAATGGCTTGAGATTTGCCTATTTGCGCCCTCCTTTGCCAGTCTTTGCAATAATGTATATTTATCATTATTTCTTTACTGAAGTCTTATCTCAATACTTTAAAAACACTTTGTAATTTATCATTTCACTTTCCTTCTCCTCACTGTAATGCAACTGTTCAGATGTTCAATTTACAATTGTACATTTACGATGCATTGTCCACACGCACTCTGTGGATTAGGGGAAACATTCTCCCATTGAACAGGGGAAATGGTGCTACCAGATTCTGTCTTTTATGTGGATTTTGTTCTGGCTTTCATTACCTTCTTGCAAGAGAGTTGGAATTTAGGCAAGCTCTACAATCAAGATTTCTTAACATAAGGCAGCAGTTCTGCAAGCTGCATCTTCTCTGCCTCAATAAGCATTAAATAAATATAGCAGAGTATCCACTGTATTTAATAGCTGAAGGGCATATTAATTTATTTATTGCAAATGTGGTTGTATTAAAAAAAAGATCACTCTGTTTAACCCACAAAAATTGCTGCTGGGTTTGGAGATATACCCCTGAGGATCAATGATTGTCATCAAGCAAACCTAGTTAGACCACATCTGATACCCTTCAGCTCTAGAAAAGGAGGCTCACTCAAGAAATGTGCTGACCATTCAAATCATTTTTGACATATGCAATGAGTGGCAGATGGGGACAGTGCCTGCCTCTTCATCTTCTTAAACATCAAACAGCTTTGAGAAGACAACGGGTACTCCTATTCAAAGCACAACAAAGAATTAATGAACACAAGAGAGAAGAATTCTTTTTGAATTCACCACTCTTCTCTCTCTAAGTCCCCAGCAATCTAAATTATTGCATGTCTGAACTCTGTTCTGATGGTGCAAAAGGTTCTTTAGGAACAGGGAAGATCAATTTTTTCCTGAGAGTGTAAGCTGGTTGGGGCATTTGTTTCCTCTCTTGCTGAGCATCGGCACGTTTGCTCACTTCTTCATTCACTTCTGTAAGAATGGATAATATATCTTCACCTCTAAAGAGAAGAAAATGAACATCAACAACATATCAATTCTTCCTTTGCACTTACATTCCTATTATCACTGGATTATAAACTAATATAATTACAAATCAGAAAGCACAAAATCAACCGTGGTTAGGCCTGGAGACAAATTCTTTAGCAATGTGAGAAATTTCTTAGGACCCCAGCTTCTCTGCAATCAAGAATTTACCTTGTTTATTTCCCCAAGAATAAAGCTTATTAGAGTCAGGATGGCATCGTGGCTAAGCTGTTGGGGAAAACTGGGAGACCCAGGCTGAGGGCCATTGTAGCTCCTTGGACTAGTCACATTCTCCCAGTTCACTCTGGTTGAAAGGAAATCCCTAACTCAGGCTAGACTGTGCTATCAGGATTTTGAGCTGGTGCATGAAGCCTATGAAAAGACAATTTAAAATTGTGTGAAAAGTCCATTTAGAGTGGGCTAAGTGGCCTACTAACACCTAATGAATCTACAGTATACTTGGTAGTTTGTTCAGAACAGTCACTTTAAAGAGAAGGCTTCCACGTAACATGAATCCTACCTTGGCACCAGGAGCTGCAACTTGCTGCAAAGAGCCTGAATGTACCAAGTCCCTTCATGGACATGTCGGAAAGAGAGATAGCCATCTACGGTGGCCATGCCAAGCAGGAAATCTGCTTCATCTGGAATACTTGAGGTGAGATGCTGGGAAGACACAAATCCTGAACTCTGTGCATCTGGTTCAAATGAGCCATCATCTTGGAGGAAGACTGGCTGCTGTGACTTTTCACCCTGACATGCCTGGATGAAGAAGAGCTTAGGTTTCTGAGCCAACAATGGGCAGTTGTTGGCTTTGAAGTATGAGGTAATGGTACGGATTGGAATCAGACATTCATCTGTCCCAAAAATTTTCCCAGATTTTCCATGAGATAGAATGCAGCATACCAGACAATCACTGTCTTTCCAGTCCTCAGAAAATTGCCAGAACTGCAAAAGTTTTCCAATTTCTGTGGAAGTCTGGTCGTCATACTTTTTCACTTTGAATCCAAGCCAGGTGAATACACGTTTCAGCTCCACTGTTACAAAGAAATAAGGCAAAGAGTTTCATAAACTCTTCATAAAACCATGTCAGTAAACACACAGTAAATGTGCCATTTACATGGCTCTAAGTTACACAGAAAAGATATGCCAACAGTTTCTATTCCTGCATTTTTAGGATAAAACAAATTTGACAATTACTAACAAAATGGTATTTTTTGGTAATCTACTAGGCTTATGACTGTGAGACAGCCCTTATTTATTTACTTCTTACAAACATGGGATATATGCAGAAAATGAATAATGATCTGTATTGAAACTTAACAAGAGAGCCTATTGCCCCATTTCAATGGTCTGATGGAATTTGCAGAGGAGCTGTGGAATTGTAAACAGCAGCTTGGTCCCTGACATCTCCGATCTTTCTTCACTGAACAGGAAGGACTTAAAGGTAGGCAGCCATGTGAAAAGATATACAAACTGTTCTCTAATGGCTATCGTTCTCCCTTAATTACTACAGCAGACATCTTGCTTATGCTCAACATGAGGAGCAGAAGTAATAACACACAGGTAATCTTCACTTATTGACCCTTGAGAGTTACAGCAGTGCTGAACAAGGAGACATACAATTGGTCCTCAAAGTTGTGGCCACTACAGCATCCCTATAGTGTGATTAGGATTTGAGCACTTGGCAATCAATGCACATTTATGATTTCCGCAATGTCCCTCAGTCATAGAATTGCCATTTGTGTGTTTCACAGCTGGCAAGGAGAAAGAAGTTGCAGTCATATGACATTGTGTTTAATGACCTGTGATGATTTTCTTAACAACCGCAGCTGGAACCAACAAACTTTGTAAGTCAGGAAGTCATTTGACTTTTCACTTAACAACCACATCACTTAGTGACAGAATTGCTGGTTGCAATGACGGTTGTTGAGTCAGGATTATCTGTACTCTCTTATGAGAAAGTTGATGGAAAAAGAATTGCCACTCTCCACAATATTCATCGAAGCTGCAATGTGAACGCTCCAATCCATGAAAACTGCAACTTAATTTTCATTTGCACATGTCAATTCTACTTATTTTCATTGAGCTAATCATCTCTCAGTGATAAAACCTTAGCTTGGCACCTTCTGTGGAATAAATTGGGAGATTAAAAGATCTGGACACAGGTATCAACAACAACTAAAAAACTTTTACAGCCCGAAACCACATAAAAGGTACATATTAGTAATCATTTGCTGCTCTGTAATGTTAAAGCACTTTATAGAAAGATAAGGGAAGCGATTAAAAAAAGAAAGGGGCCATTCCAATATAAACATTTATTTAAGCCACTTACTGGCATCTTTCTCAGATCCCTTCCTTTTTCTGAGGTTACCTTCAAAGTTGACATTGTTAATAATAAGACAATATCCTCTGTACTGCCCATCCATTTTATACTGTTTCAATGTCTGCAGAATGAAGGACCGGAAAAAAGTATCAGACTTCTGTTTGTGAGATCTTAATAATATTAGCATTATCAAAAGTGACTGTGGATGGTATAGGGCAGGGGTAGGCAACCTTGGCTCTTTTATGACTCGTGGACTTCAACTCCCAGAATTCCTGAGCCAGGCTGAGTTGAAGTTCACGAATCATAAAAGAGCCAAGGTTGCCTACCCCTGATATAGGGTTAGGGTTAGGGTTGCCCTTGAAGCACAGGAGGGAGAGCCTCTTAGCAAGGGAATGATTTGACCAGCACATTCAGAGTTGCAAGATTCTGTTACTACAGCTGTTCCAATAAAAATAGTTTTAGATTTGTATGGCATTGCTTTCTTGGTCTGAACTACCTTATACTTGACAGCTATAGACCCACTTAAAGATCAATAAATTTCAGTTGTTTTGCAACAGTGTCTGGAATCCTAACAAAATGTTCTTTGATTGAGACAGTCTGGTCTATGTCAGCTTCATTCCTCAATTGCTGGAAAACCAACTAGGATTTAACAGCAATCCTGCTAAGTCACACCAAAGGTATCATATCTTAATATTGGTGACTTTCAATTCTCTGCTCTTAATTACAGGCTTTGCATTCCAATGTTTGTCACAAACATCTAGCATGCAAAATTCATTGTCTTTAAAATCAACACCATTGCAACCTACAAACTGGACATCATTTTGGGTGTGAAGGACAAACTATCTCAGAGTCATCCAGATCATTTCTCTAATGACTCTAGTTTTCTTTAATTGCTTCTAGAAATGAGGCCTGAGTTGAAAACGTGGCTATAGCTACACTGATGTCAGGTCCTCACAGATGAAGCAAAGTTGCAACAAGGTGGAGAGAGCGATAGATGGTCTGTTGACCCGTTGCATTACAATTCTCATGAATCCTGGTTATTGAACTTGCTTGCTGGGTCTAATGAGAATTGAAGTTCAATAGCATCTGAAGGACTTCATATTGTCCATCATGTTGGAAAAGGATTTTTAAAAGTTAAGAATTGGCCAACATAAAAATATACTAAACAGCTAGATTTGGAGTAAATGTTGCTCCAATACATATACTGACTGATTGGAATACACGAGAAACAATTCAGAAGATACAAACCACTGCTGCAGCACTCACATCAGTCTTCCTGACAGTTTGTTGCAATCCCTGTCCCAAGAAATTAAGAACAGGTTCTGCTTTGAGATCTAAAAAAAATTACAAAGAAATAATTAGACTTAAAAAAGGTTTATCTTTTCTCAATTTAATCACTTGAGAGTAGAATACTGCAGGCAATACAGGTAGTCCTTGAGTTGTGATCTTCCTTGCTGACTTCCTAATTGGCATTGCTTATTGAAAGCTAGCAGAGAAGGTCTGAAATGATGATGTGGCCACAGGGTTCTGCAACCAATTGTAAGCACAAACTACTTGCTAAGCATGCAAATTTTGTTCATGGGACTGCATTGGTGCTACAGTGGCCAGAACTTCCAGGACTGGCTGGTACAGGTAGTCCTTATGACCGGTCACTTAGCAATTGTTCGAAGTTATGAAAGACACCCACCCAAAAGCTACTTACAACCTGGTTTTGACGTTATGGCTGCTGCAGCACCACCAGTCATTCACCTATCTGTCCCCCAAACTGCACCCTCAGGCCTTGGGCCTGCCTCCTCTCCCTTCCCCCCAGGTCATAGAAGGGCTTGGGCTTCCTCCTTACCTCCCATTACACCCACTTATCTATTCAGAGTCAGGACCTCACACTGGGAGAGAAGGATAGGCCACTCTGTCCCTCAGCATCCCTGGGCCATGCAGCTGTGTGTCCCAGAAGGGACCACGCTATTTCAGCATGGCCACAGCACTTTCCACAACGCAGACTGCATTAGGAAAGCACAGCAGATCACTTCGTTAGTGGGCTACACAACCACATCACATAAGCCAGTGGTGGCGAACATATGGCATGGATGCCAGAGGCGGCACTCAGAGCCCTCTCTGTGGGCACGCGTGCCGTCACGCCAGTCCTAGGCCTTCGGCTGGATTTTATAAAACCTTTTTGCTTTAGGCCTCCGCCGCTGTGTGGAAAAAAAAAAAGTTCAATCAGTCAATTTCAACTTCTTGCGGGAAAAAAAAAGATCTTGCAAAGTTGGAATTGATTGATTGAACTTTTTAGTCCCACCCAGTCTGCTGTTACCACTGCAGCCACGCCCATCCAATGGGCCACACCCACCCAATGGGCCACACCCACCCGGCACTCGACGATGCATAAGTGGGTTTTGGCTTGCAGTTTGGGCACTCGGTCTCTAAAAGGTTCGCCATCACTGACATAAGCAATCACTATTTCAGTGTGATTGCCACAAGGAATTGTGACAAGACTTGAAGCGATGGCTGCTTCTGGGACACAGCTGTGCAGACCAGGGACTCTTTAAGGAATGGAATGTCTGCCCTCCTTCCCTGTGAGGTCCGGATCTCTGGAGATCCTCAATCGTCTGGTCTCTCTTGTATCCGTCCATCGAACCACTCCATGCTAGAATGTCCTTTTACTCCGCCCTCTCCTTTAGCTGCCAATTCTACCACATTAACATTCTGCTACCTTTCATGGCTTTTGGCAATTCACAAAAGTATGAAATAAAATAAAATATTCACAATACGTTCTATTTGAATTTTAAAATAGATCACCGAACTATTAAAATGAGAAGACAAAAAGGGTCAGAGTACTGAAGTATCTTTTGGGGAAAAGCAGACAAGTAATTGGATGTGGTCTGGATCAAAGCATCTCCCATCAGTTCCAATTAGCATGATCTAGAGCAGGGGTAGGCAACCTTGGCTCTTTTATGACTCGTGGACTTCAACTCCCAGAATTCCTGAGCCAGCCAGCTAAGCTGGCTCAGGAATTCTGGGAATTGAAGTCCACGAGTCATAAAAGAGCCAAGATTGACTACCCCTGATTTAGAGCCAAATAGGAGATTGGAGCAAGTCTGGGGCCATGTGCACACCTTAAAGAAGCTGTCCTTTCCTGGATGTGCTCAGTAGCTCAGTAGCCATAGCTGGCTCAGGAATTCTGGGAGTTGAAGTCCACGAGTCATAAAAGAGCCAAGGTTGACTACCCCTGATCTAAAATTATTATGTGATTTGTTGCCCAAATGATCATCTTATCTCTTGCCATAAAAGAATCACAGAGAGACTTCTAAAAAAAGAATAGGGGAAAAAATCATAAAAAAGACTGCCCTAATGTCAGTCTGTGTGTGTAACATATAAATATGTTTTGATGAAGGTGTCAGGCAAGTGGATCAACCTCACGTCTTTCTCAGAAAAGGCTCTTTGAAACATTAAAAACAAGGCACCTCATCACTTCTACTTCCAGATCCCCTGACAAGAATCTTAAGGCTCTCTCTATTTCCACCTTTCCTCATTTCTTCTACGTCCAGATTGAGAAGGACACTGGATATGTTTCTGTATTCTACTGCGGTGAATTATGAAGTACTTCTAGTTTCATTCAATGCCAACCAGAGCACCTACTTATCTTAAAACTACAGTTAAGCATAAAATTAGTCCCCGTCATATAAAGCTTCTAAACCAACCTGGATTTTCAGCTAAAGAATAAACAATTCCAACGTGCTCTTCTAGGCTCCCAAACATTTCATTGTAAAGATGTTCTGAGAAGAAAAGAAAAATTCAGATATTCCTATTTATTTCCATTGCTTGATTTAGGAGTTGTGCACACAGCTTTATACCAAGTACTAATTGATTTTTTACCTAACGTTTTACAACAGCTGATTCAGACAAATGGCAGTACCTTTGAACAGCAGAATGGGCAATTTCCAAAATTAAATCAATTTCTAGCCAATGAGTGCAAATAGTTACTTCTTTTTTATTCATTCATTTAATTTCTGTCATTGCCCATCTCAATCAATGACTTTAATATAAATCTTATATAGGCAGTCCTCAACTTAAAACCATTCGTTTAGTGACCACTTGAAGTTACAACGGCACTGAAAAAAGTGACTTATGACTGTTTTTCACACCTACAGCCACTGCAGCATCCCCCTGGTCGCTTAGCAACTGGCATGTATTTAGGACAGTTGCCCTGTTTCAGGGTCATGTGATCAACACGTGTGACATTCCCAGCCAGCTTCCAAAAGCAAAGTCAATGGAGGGAGCCAGATTTGCTTAACAACGGCATAATTCACTTAAAAACTGCAGTGATTCACTTAACAATTGTAGCAAAAAAGGTTGCAAAATGAGGTAAGACGCAACAACGTTATGCTCCTAATTCAACCTTTATTAACCACAGCTAATTTCCCATGTCAGATCCTTGTTTTCTTTCAGTGCCATATCCCAGCCTATTGATTTCACAGCTGGGATGAGAAAACAAACATTAAAAGGGACCTCTGAGTATATTCCTAGTCCAGTGATGGCGAACCTTTTAGAGATCGAATGCCCAAACTGCAACCCAAAACCCACTTATGTATCGTCAGGTGCCGGGTAGGTGTGGCCAATTGGGTGGGTGTGGTCAATTTGGTGGTCGTGGCCCATTTGGTGTGCGTGGCTGCAGTGGTAATGGCAGACTGCATGGGACTAAAAAGTTCAATCAATCAATTCCAACTTTGTGAGATCTTTTTTTTTCCTGTGAGAAGCTGAAATTGACTGAAACTTTTTTTTTTTTTTTTTGCACACGGCGGTGGAGGCCTAAAGCAAAAAGGTTTTATAAAACCCAGCTGAAGGCCTAGGACTGGGGCAACAGCATGCGTGCCCACAGAGAGGGCTCCTAGTGCCGCCTCTGGCACGCATGCCATAGGTTCACCGCCACTGTCCTAGTCTGTCTAGGACAGTAGGTAGAAAGCAGAACTGGACATATTCTGGGCGCAAACCACATTATTCAAATGGCCTTTTAGAATAAAGACACGTGACCGCTCTACCAGCGCTCTGGCAAAAGGGGCTGCATTCCTGTTCATCTGGCATAAACCTTGGTGGACCTATGACTCTACATACAGGACATGTTACAATGCTGAGGTGAATGGCAAGAAAGTTTGATAAAAACTTAAATCTAACAGGCAAATTAGAAAAACCAGAACATTTCAGTAAACTGCAAAACTACCTACCATGATTCCTTGGTGGAACAATGTCCTGCATAGAGGGGAGAAAAAAGAAAAATCAAAATGAGATATTTCTTGGCATATCTACCCAGAAGAATGTCATCTTTGAGTTTAGCTTACTCCTAACGATGCCATCCTAAATCAACTTAACTGGCTAAACATTTCCTAGCAAATACTCTAGAAGTCTGATCAGGAAAAAGAACAGGATCGAGGAGGATGTTAGAACTTAAAACTTTTTGTAGAATATTTTTGTTCCATTTCATTTCCCTCTCTTTCATCATTTATACTAATCTAGTTCCTCCTGATGCAAATTGTAATCTATACATACTAGTTGCAACATTTTAAAAGGAAAAAGTGAAATGGAATATTAAAACATTGTCAGAAATTGGTGCCTTCTATTAAATAAAGCAATAGGCACTATTTACATTTTATGATATACTGTATAGATGTAACAAGGAGATCTAAGAGGACACGCAGAACAATAGAAGAAAGAAGAAAAGGTATTTGTCCAAATCAGAATCACCAGTGTGGGTATCCTTTAATAAAGATCAAAATAATGGATACTCCAACCTCTCTAATACATGCTGGAACACTAAATACTGCCATGCATTTATGTTCTGGCATGTAGCATGGCCTCTACCTAACAGATTTAAAAAACAAAAACCTCTTTCCCCTTTGAACTCACTGTCAAGTAGCTTTTCACTTGCTCAAAATCAAGTCCAGACTAGTGCTACTTTTTATAAAGTTCCCTTCTCGTCGCTCTTGGTGGTACATGACTTCCACAATCTTGGGTCCTCTACCAGAGGCCAGGCAGTTTGAGGAGTCTGTGCAGGATCTTGGCTGTTGCTAGCACTACACTCTCCTGGACAGAGAGCTCTGATGTCGTTCCTGGCATCTGTTGGAGCCTCTCCCCCAGCTTAGGGGGTCATACTCGCACTTGCTTCTACTACCCCCGGGACCACCTTGGCCTTTACTTTCCATCTCCTCTCTAGTTCTCCTTTAGGTCCTGATAATTCTCCAGCTTCTCACACTCCTTCTTCCTGATGTTGCTGTCATTTGGAGCTGCTGCATCTATCACCGCCACTGTCGTTTGGTCTGATAAAATGACCTTCCATGTTGTTTGCGTTTCCAACATAAATTTGAAGTACCTTTATACATTCTACATAATATTTTTACGTCATATGCCAGGTATTCATTACTTTCCAAGCGAATACAATCCTTTACTACAGTTGCTCTCCTCAGCTGAGGATTTTTAATGCCTCTTTTCCTCTAGGACAGAGGTCCCCAACCTCTGGGCCGTGGTCCACTGCCAGACCGTGGCCTACTACTGGACCATGGCCTCTTGGTTACTGTGCTGCGTGAGTGGCTGACCAGTGTGCGCATGTGTGCACGTGCGCTCACTCTCACTTGCACCGGTGCTAACCGAGCCACGAGCCTTGTGCCGGCACTAGCAGCCCCATTTGTGGAGCGTGCATGCTCGTGGCCCCATTTGTGCACATGCGTGCGCAGCCACATTAGCATGTGTGCGCAGGCATGCATAAAAGTGCCTGACCCTCCCTTTCCCATTGCTCTAGGAGACACAAAACTGGAAGAAGGTGACTGAAGAGGTACAGTTTTGGGAAATTCTATTCATTCAGCACTGTTATCAGTGCAGATAAGCAAGGAGTTCAGAACGCAGAAATTAAATAAAAGATTATTAGTCATTAAAAAAACCTAATAAAATAATCAAAGGAAGTAATGGAGAATTTGAAACAATTGAATCAAAGCAGCATTAAAGAGCCCCTATAACTAGTGGTCCTGGACTGAACACCTAAACCAGCCTACCCATCTTTGAAAAAGGTTGTAAAATACTCTCTACTAGCCTTTCTCAACCGGGGTTCTGGGAGAGGTTGCTAAGTGGCCCATAAGATATGTGGAAATTAAAAAAACATTTTTAAACTTTGCGTATCATACAATGCTAGCATTTGAGAACTGGAATATTTAGGTGTTACAACATAGCTGCTGGCCTGCCCCTCTGCTAGGATTGTTAAGAGAGACCTTGAAGAAAAAAGATTGTTGACCTTTGTAGTCACATGGATGGAATCTTTATGTAAAACAACTCAGCTTACTGTTCACACTAACTACTGTGATATAATAATTCCCTGAGATCCAACCATTTTTTCAAAGGTTCCTCCAGGGTGAAAGGTGAGACAAGCTTCTGTACACAAATGGAAAACAACATTTGCTAAGGCATACCTGGAGAGAAGTGTTTCCCGAAACTGGCATGTTAAAGGCACAAACAGAAGAGGGAACAGTTTCTTTGTTTTCTTGATGAGGCACTACAAAGCAACAGATAATAAAATGATTTGGAAAGAGCACTTTTTGTTTTCCAAATAAGTACTAAATATTTTTAAGAGTGCTAACCAATCAACTAAGATGAAGGAAGAGTCATATGAAAATGGAACTTTTTAGCACATCTAGTTTTTTAAAGTGATTGCACTCCCTATTAACCACTAGTCTGAACACACAATTTCGGATATCTGGGGAAGTTACTGGTAATTTCAAAATGCTTCAAAAAGTGGTATTTTTGCTAGAATGAAACAGCTCAATGATGGAGGTCACGACCTAGAATCTCCCGTTTTGTAGGAAATTCTTGCAACACCATTTTCTTTCTTTTATTATTGTAACTATACTGTATAACTGAAACAATAAGCAGAATATTCAGCTTATGTTTCACAATTAACTTAATCGCAGGCGCGTAATTGAAAATAGGGTGTAGTTAGGTTATTATTATTCATGGCTTTTTTGTGGTTGCATTTTTGAACTTTTTCCCCCAAATTCAACTCTGCATTAAAAAAAAAAAGGTTCTGGAAAGATGACAGCAGTTTTTAAAAAAGAAATATACGAAATCTTTGACTTCCAAGTGCAATTGAGCCTAACATTTCGGCCATAAGTTGTAATGGTCATCGTTGCCTACAATTTTACAAGCTTTACTGCAGTAGTGAATCCATTACAGGTATTCCTCAAATTACAACAGTTCATTTAGTGACCATTCAAAGTTACAATGGCACTGGAAAAAATAACACATGACCATTTTTCACACTTAAGACCGTTGCAGCACCCCCATGGTCACATGATCAAAATACAAATGCTTGGCAACTGATTCATATGTGTTGCAGAGTCCCAGAGTTATGTGATCCCCTTTTGTGATCTTCTGACAAGCAAAGTCAACGAGAAACCCAGATTCACTTAACAACCGTGTTGCTGACAACAGCAGTGATTCACTTAACAACTGTGGCAATTAATTAATATTTTGCTTAATGATTTCACTATTTTTTTTATAATAGTTTCTACTGCAGTATAATTTTAAAATTTGTTTTTTATAGTCTGTTGGGTTTTGGTATGCTAACCAGAACCATGCACGTGAGATGGGTTGCTATATCAATGTGATGAATGAATAAATGAACTTTTGCACAAAATAGCATTAGCAATAGCTCTTAAAGGCTTACATTCTTTGCTTTGCAGCCCTCTCTAAGTGGTTTACAGAGTCAGCTTATGGCCCCCAACAATCCGGGTCCTCATTTTACCAACCTCGGAAGGATGGAAGGCTGAGTCCACCTTGAGCCGGTGAGAATCGAACTGCTGGCAGCTGGCAGTCAGTAGAAGTAACTTGCAGCACTGCATTCTAACCACTGCACCACCATGCCTAATACCTAATACATGTCTTATCCAAACAAGATGCCTTACGAAAAACTAATGGGGCAAATTCAGCATTGATCAGCTTAGGAGATACTTAAGTTTGCCAACCTGCAATCAACAAACAGGAAGGCGAGAGCAACCAGGTTGGGACAGGATGCTGCATGAAAGAGGAAAAAGAAACGCAAGGTTCCTTACTTGCCTTTCCCTCAATCTCTTCTGGCAATGCTATTCCATACAGGCAGATGCAGCTCTTAAGCATCTTGACTAAAGAAACACCTTTTCTACCTGCTGGATTAGGACTCCCCCCTAAAGATTTTTTTTTAACCTCACATGAGGGTGTTTTTGTATAAGTCAGAAAATATTTATGGCAACTTTAATTACAGATCCACGTTTCTCTTCCATATGCTTGGAAGTAGTCCAAAGCCACTGAGATAACCCATAATCAGTAGGAGTTGTAGGTTAGCGGGTATATTTGAAATTGGGGGTGAACCACAAGATGGTCCCAAGTCACATGCTAAATATAGTTTTGTGTTAACTATATTCTTGCCTATTTGTTGCATGATGCAGAACATATGGAAGGAATGGAGGGAAGCCCAAGCCCTTTCCCTGCCTCCCTTCACGTTCTCTGTTCCTTTTTGCTCTTTTTCTCCTGAAATCTGAAAAGTGAGCTTACAGAAGAAAGACATCTCTAACCAGATACGGAGTACGGGGTTTAAGGAAGAAAAAGGAAGGCAGTGAAATAGGTTATGTTCCACATTTACCACCTGCCCCCCCCCCTTTCAAAGGATAACAAAGGCATACTTAATAAACCCTTGTTGGCTTGGCATTTAAGTCACGGGCCACGTGACTTGCACAGAAGAATGATACCCACAAATATTTGATAAGCAGTATTTTTCAAAATTAGACACCTTTTATTTGTTTGTATATCTCTATTTTCCTCAGGAGATGAGGTGCTGTTTTCTGGCAGATATATTCAAGAATACGCAGGTCAGACTCCTGTAGAAGGTCTTTCTTCTCCAGGGAAGTCAGCAACTCCAAAGCCGACTGGGAAAGAAAAATCAATGTAGTAGTTACAACTTAAATGCGCTTTCCATTCTACCCTGAGTAACAAAGTTTTTCTACGTCTTCAATCAAGTTTCTGTCAGCAATCTAAGAGCAACCTCTGATGTTTCTTCAACCAAATTGAAAATCTCCTAAACTGCACAGACCTAAGTCAATCTCTAGGATTGGGCAAAGATAGCTTTTATGGACACGTAAAGTGCATTTCAGAAAATTTCTACCTTCTATGTTTTTCTCAAAATGTCTGCATATTCAGGGGAGGAGCTATGTTAAAGCCTATCTCAGGACCACAACTAAGGACAGTCCTTCTTGCTCTTTTTTTTTTTAATTTTATTATTTTATTTTCATTACAATCGTAAGAAAAAAAAATTCAGATACATAACAAGTTAAAATACAACACACAAATTCCGGCATTGCTCACCCATTTCCCCCCAAGCCGCATCCCCCAGTCATCTCTTCACTTCCCCCTTCCTTCTACTTCCTCACTCTCCTCCTCTCCTCCCTCTCTCCTCCATCTTTCTACTTGCTTATCCCTCTCCTCTTCTTCTCAATCGGATGCGGTCTAGGGGAAAATGCCCGAGCAATCCTCTATCACCAAAAAAAAAGAAAAAAAAAATCTAAAAAATATAAAACTACTTATCTGAACTATTGAACATACTACCCATACTCTCCCCTCCCCCCTCCCCCTTCAGTCCTTCTTGCTCTTGACAACACAACTATAACTCTCTTTTCTTAGGGAAGTGGATTGGATATTAAATCTCATTTACCTTTTTAGGAATTCTTTTATAACTCCTGCTTTATTTAGATTTTTGGCACGCGTTTTTAGTATGTTTGCTGTTTCTTGCTTCTTTATTAGTCTTTGGTTTTACTCACCATAATGGGTTGCTTCTTTGGGAGGTCGGCCTTCAGAAGAAAGGCAGCATCCTTTACGTTATCCTTTGTGAGCTCTTCTGCTATTTCAAACAGCAACTGTCTGGGAGACAAGTCTAAACATGTAAGCTAATTTTTTTACGTACGATTACAGTAAGACAGTGTTTCCCAAACTTGACAATTTTAAGGCATGTGGACTTCAACTCCCAGAATTCCACAGCCAGCAACGCTGGCTGTGGAATTCTGGGAGTTGAAGTCCACATGCCTTAAAATTGTCAAGTTTGGGAAACACTGTAGTAAGATATTCATCCATAGCCACTTTGCCTACCATCTCAATTTAAGATCTGAAATTTTGGACAATACTTTGATGGCAAATATTTAGAAAAAGAGTCTAAATAAACAAACGATTAAAATGCTTGGAACACATTCAGAAGAGAAATAACGTACCAATCCACGTTTTTTTTAGTGAAAGTTATATTGTTTAGAAAACTCACCGATAACCAGATACCTTTCCTCTGTTAGGCAGTTCTTCTTGAACAATCTCTTTAGTATAATCAAGTTTCTGGAGCAGAAAGTTACACCTAATAATGTAGAGAAGCTCTGCTATGAGAAAAGTATCATCCTTATTAATTAAGTCCTCATTGATGAGAAATTGGAAAATATCCTGGGCTGATTTCACAGTTTCTAGCTTCTTTAATGAGATGAAATCAGAACAGAGAAATTTCAGGTCTTCTACATCTTCCTTCCCTAAGTTTTCATCAATTGATAGTAGCTGCTGGCGAAATATCACATTCTCGTTGTCAGCCATGAAGAAATATTTTCTGAAAAGCTAAAATCTCTAAAACAAGAGGAAAAGAAGTAATGCTAAGCATTTAGAAGTAAAGTAGTGGAAAAAGAAAAAGTCTTCCTGGAAGATAAACCAACCAACCAAAAGCAAACACTTTTGCACAAAACAATTACTGTTAACAGCAGCGTAGGAAATAATATCAGTGTAAACTAAATTTAAATAATTCAGCAAATGATCACAGATAAGGAGAACCTATGTTACTGCTTTTGTAATTTTTCAACATTACCAAAAGCTAGAACATTTTTGGTTTTGCCGTGCACACATATACACACTAAAGAAATCAAATATATCAACTGTTCCATGATCAGACCTTTCCTTCTATTTCACTGAAACGTGACATTGGCATCTATTTAGTTAAAAGGTTATTTTCAAAGGTAACCAACACAATACATAAAATCCTGACATAATTCATCTATTTGTTAAAATAGCTGAACATTAAGCAGCACTGTGGATAGGAACGCCAATCCATATTAAGGCAAGAAATCGGATAAAAGAAGACACAATTAAAAAATTGCCCATAAAACATCTATGAAATATACCCATTGTAAGGAATAGGACTCCTGCTTCTTGATCACCATGTCATTTTAGGCAGTTCCATTTATTTATTCCAGACTTAGTTTGATTTTAATATGATTAGAAATTATCAAATTTAAAGATTAAAATACTTCCAAGGCTACCTCAAAAAATGAATAAAAGTACAAATATTCAAATAATAAATTTCTAAATAAAAGTAGTCTTTAATAGGAACAGTATTATAAATGTAATCATAAGTCTCAGTAAAATAGTCCAGTGGTGGCGAACCTATGGCACACGTGCCACAGGCGGCAGAGCTGTCCCTGTGGGCACATACGCCATTGCTGGGCTCCTCCCCTCCCCCTCTCCATGCATGCACAGTCTGGGAACAGCTGCAAGAACTGGGCGGGGTGAGGGAACCTATAAAAGGAGCAGTTTTGGTGGGAGAGTGAATGAGCGGCCTTTGGAAGCAACCATTGGTAGGTTTAAAATCATTTTAACAACCGGTTCTCTGCCTCGCCTTCCCTCCGTCTTGGTCAGGCTGGGCTGCTCCAGGGTTGGCTGGGGTGGGGGCAGAAGGGGTCATCAGGTCCCGGATAGGGGAAGATGAGGGGCTCTGGCAGGAGGGCAGGAGGGCAAGGACACCTCTGAGGAGGAAAGCCATCCCCTCACTGGCCAAGCCTCTCATCCACTCTGCAGTCACCTAGGATTGCATAGAAAAGGCACCAGGCAGGGGGTGGGGGGGGGCGGCAGGGGGGAAATCAGACCCGCCATCTCCCTTCCACAGTGCAGCCCCATTGGCGTAACCGGGCCCCGGAATGGCCGGGAAGGAGACCTCACCTGGTGCGGGTCCTGTCTACACTGTGGCTCTGACGGGGGCAGCGGTGATCCCTGCATCGCCAAGCCTGGCCGGCTGCAGATCTAGAAGCAAAGCTGTGCCGACCATCTTCGTGCTGGTTAGGGCAGCGGCAGAGGAAGGTGAGGCATGGCACATGCCCTCCCCTCCCCGCCCGGAGGCACACGCGGGTCAATGTGCGACAGCAGCGGCAAAGGGTACCCGCATGCCAGATCCTGCCTTCCCCTGCCGCCGCCAGCAAAAGGATGGTCGGCAGAGCTTCACTTCCAGATCTACTGCTTGACACTATCGGCCCCCACATACAGAAGCCAGTGAGCGCATGGGGACCGATGGTGTCTGTCAGCAGCCACAGCATGCTGGCTGTCCTGCATAATGGCGGACTGGCTACAGAGCCCCATTGGCATGGGCAGAAACGACTCCGGGATAGCCAGAAGGAAGCCTTTGCCCAGCCTGGGCGCATCCACTTTACGGATCTGATGGGGGTGGCTTCTGCTGCAGTTCTGACTGGTCAACCATGCAGGGAAGCAGGAGGAGGTAGAGGGGCAGCTGGGGGTCTGGAGCCGCCTCGGCTGCTCACTAGCAGCCCGACGAGGCAGCGGATTCGCACACCAGCTGCCCCTTCTGCTTCCCTGCAGAGCTGACCAGTCAGAGCAGCAGCAGAAGCTACCCCCATCAGATCCGTCAAGTGGATGCGCCCAGGCCGGGCAAGGGCTTCCTCCCCCCCATAAATCGGCAAGAAGTAAAACCTCTCTTATTATGGCTTAGTTCAAAATAATAATTAAAACAGAATTTGTTCCCGAGAATTTTTTTCCTAGCAGCCCCCCCCCCCGCCATTGGAAACCAACACCCATTTGGTTGCTCCTCCCAAGCAAAAGCACACGAACTGGGTTTGCATCTCGACCTGGACTTTGGGGCGGAGGGGGGGAAATAGCAAGCTCCCGGACTCGCTGCTCAGGCGCTGGTGCAGTGAAAGGATTAACGAGCTGCTGCAACCCGCCTTTTGCTCCGGCCACTGCGGATAATGGAGCTGCCAGCGCCGGGCAGAAGAGCAGGGACCTGAGGCGGTGTGGGGGGGTGAATCTCACTCCCTGGGCTGAGAAGCATAGAGCAATTGGGTGGGGTGCAGCAACACATGGGCAAGAGAATTGAGAATGAGAAAGACGTTGGTAGAAACGGCTCCGGGATAGCCGGGGGTCTGGAGCCACCTCGGCTACTCACTAGCAGCCCAACGAGGCAGTGGATTCACGCACTAGCCGCCCCTCTTGCTTCCCTGCATGGTTGACTGGTTGGAACAGCAGCAGAAGCCACTCCCATCAGATCCATCAAGTGGATGCGCCCAGGCCGGGCAAAGGCTTCCTTCCAGCTATTCCGGAACCATTTCCGCCCATGCCAATGGGGCTCTTTAGCCAGTCCGCCATTATGCAGGACAGCCAGCATGCTGTGGCTGCTGATGGACATCATCGGGCCCCATGCGCTCGCTGGCCTCTGTGTGCGGAGGCCGATAGTGTCAGGCAGCAGATCCGGAAGCGAAGTTCTGCCGACCATCTTTGCACTGGTGGCGGTGGCAGGAGCGCAGGATCTGGTATGCGGGCACCCTTTGTCGCTGCTGCTGCACATTGTCCCGTGTGTGCCTCTGGGCAGGGAAGGAAAGGCGTGTGCCACACCTTTCCTTCCCTCGCCGCTGCTCCCACCAGCGCGAGGATGGTCGGCACAGCTTTGCTTCCAGATCTGCGGCTGGCCGGGCTTGGCGATGCAGAGATCACCGCCGCCGCCTCCTGCTTCCCTGTGTGGTTGGCCGGTCAAGGGGCTCAGAGAAGCAGCCGCAGTCCCCGTCAGAGCCACAGATGAGGGCTCCTTCCTGGCCGTCCCGGGGCCATCTGTGCTCACGCCAATGGGGCTGTCATGATGCAGAGGGCTGTGGCTGCTGACAGACACTGGCGGCCCCCATGCGCTTGCTGGTCTCTGTGTGTGTGGGGGCCGATGGTGTCAGGCAGCAGCTGCTCGAGCCCCTGCCTTGTGTTGCCTTGCCCTGCTGCAATTGGCACACCCGCCATGCCTCGCCTCGCCTCACCCTGTAGGACAAGCCTCCGGTCCATCGCCACATCCGCCAGAGATCCCCTGGTTTTCCCCCAACCCTGCCTGGCCCCCCCAAGCGTCCCTCCCCAGAAGCATCATCAAGGTGGCCACAACCACCAGGGCCATGCCCACCCAGTCGGCCGTGACCACTGAGGCCATGCCCACTCAGTTGGCCACACCCACCCAGTCGGCCACATCCACCCAGCACCCGGTGATAAATAAATGAGCTTTGGGTTGTGGTTTGGGCACTCGGTCTCTAAAAGGTTCGCCACCACTGAAATAGTCAAATAGTCAAAGTCTTATTTGACCGCCAGTTTGGTGCAGTCTTAAAAGCTCTGAATTGAAGGCCAGGAGACCATGAGTTCTAATCCTGCCTAATGCACAAAGCAGGCTGGGTGACTTTGAGGTTACAGCTTTGCATTCTAATATTCTGTGCCTTGATTTTCCCTCATTGTAAATCTTGAGTGTCTACAAACATATAGAACATGAACTACCTATCCTTCCAAGCATGGGCCTTTATAATATAATTGATGTCTGGAGGATTGTTCAGACAGATAACAAAAATCCCAAGGATGGGGCATGACCAACAAGTTCATTCCTGCATTCTCCCTCCCCAAATTCTCATTATGTGAAAAATAAACTTTTCATACATTATTGTACTACTAATATTACCATTTTCAACTAAGACTTAAATGGGTTGATCACAAGATGAAATTATAGATTTCGTATTGTTTCAAAATCATGAAACCCAAATTTCTGGACTCAGCAACTGTGTTCAGATACTTAATACTAGCAGCATTCCTGTGCATGTTTACATATTAATAAACCTCATTGACTTCAGTACAATTTTGGTCCACATAGCCCCAGAGATTCCTCCAGGTAGGCAGGGAATGCAGAACTCTTGTCAGTGAAGACAGCAAACTATGAGAATTAGCCCCTAAAGCTGAATGGCCAAACATAGGAAATCTTACCTTCTAGTTTGTACTTCTGAATCTTTTTTGCCAAGTCTCTCCTGTGAATAGTCAGGAAGCAATTTTCTATTAAATCCAAATGCATGGGAGATATCAGATCTAGCTTCTCCAGGTCAGTAATAATTGCCAGAAAACTCTAGAAAAATCAGACAGAATGATTGTAAAGGACAAGCCAACGCAGTCCTGAGAAATTACAGTTATATGTTAAACTTTCAGAGAATATAAAAAGATTGGCAGTACATATCTGTCTCCCCTGTTTAGGAAAATATAGTACTTCACAATTAGCATTTACCCTATCTTGCAAGGTAGAGTTTTGGAATTTCCAGTTTTACTAATGAGGAAGAGATTATACAATATAGTAGCCTAAACTATGTAAGTTGCCAAATTGTTAGTAGTAAAGTCTTCATCCTGGTTCATCCAAGCCGGGAATAAATAAGTAAGCATGGCAACTGCTTTGGGAAGAAGGTTACAGTTTATTGAAGAAGCAGAAAGATGGTTCTTCAGGAAAGAACAGAGGAAAGAAGGGTTGAGCACATGGTGTTGTAGGTTTTTATATCCCCTCTAACCTTTTGTTTGGAATAGTTTCCTGTTCCTGTGGCATGAACTTTGAGGCTATTTCCTGTGTCACGTATTCTGACCTGTTTTAGGTGTGCCTCTATGGTATACGTGATGGTAATGGGTTAGTCCTATTATATCCCAAAAGTCATCTCCTGCTTCCCTGGGGCTGGGCTAATGACTCTTAAGAGTTTCTTTGTCTTGAGTTCCCTGGCTCCAACCTTCCTAATGGTCTTATATCTGCATTTCTATGAGGTTAGCTCTTGCTTGGAACAAAGAAATTTGGGGCCAGGTTTGGTTTCTGCTTTTCAAAAAAATACTTTTGGTGAAAAATATATTTTCCTTTTTAATATTTCCTTCTGGGGGGGCTAACTTCCCTCATTCCCATGACAGTACCTTATCAGTTTTCTGTTATGCATCCTTTGTACACCATAAAATATATCCATTGCTGAGTCTCAGTTCATGTATGGATATGAATGAAGGTATGCATATTTTGGATATCCGACTAAATTCCTACTGACAGATTATTAGTCAATGACACCCAACCAAAAATATATTAGAAATTAGAATCAATCTAAAAACCCTGAAACAGGAAGGCATTTTTCTTTTAAAAATCCCACACAATTAGAAAAGGGAAGTAATAGAAAAGGTTACAAAAGAAACCCAGATCCAGCAACTAGCCATCACAAATGCAGATTCATACAGGAAGGGTGAGAAAGAGAATGCCCCAAGGAAACGACCATTATCCCTTTTCAAAAGGAATAAGCAGAACAGATTTTTAAAAGTACTAAAAAAGAGGTTTTTTTTTTCTCCATTCACTCTCCCCCCCCCCCCCCGCCAGATTCTGGAACCATTTAGTCAGAAGAAACGGCAAAGACACCTTGTATAAACAATCAAACTTATGGATCCCACCAGATAGATCAGTGGTTCTCAACCTGTGGGTCGGGACCCCATTTGGGGTCGAACGACCATTTCATAGGGGTCGCCAAACAAGGCTGTCCGCCATTTTTTTCCCCTTTTCTTTGGCCACACCCTTGGCACCTGGTGATGTATAAGTGGTTGGGGGTCACCACAACATGGGGAACTGTATTATGGGGTCGCAGCATTAGAAAGGTTGAGAACCACTGAGATAGATACAGGGATAGGCAACCTTGGCTCTTTTATGACTCGTGGACTTCAACTCCCAGAATTCCTGAGCCAGCCATGCTGAGGGGAAAGGGAGTTTCCAAGCTGAGCCATGCTGGCTCAGGAATTCTGGGAGTTGAAGTCCATGAGTCATAAAAGAGCCAAGGTTGCCTACCCCTGAGATAGAATAATGTAACACTAAGAGGAAACACAAAGCACATATAGAAACTCATTAACATGAATAGAACCATCTTCTGAGGACATGATTAACCTCTCGCTGGCTGCCAGCACAAAACAGGCTAAGGGAAATTAAGGAAACAAACACCTTTACAAAATCCAAATCATAATCTCAATAATTCAAGGGACATAAAAGATGGGCCAGTCTCCTTGGAAAATCACTGGCTAGTCCAGAAACCTCCGCTGTGTCACTACTCCGCCCGGTTTCTGCAATAAACCTACTTTCTGGCAGCTTGCTTCATTTTGTGTCCATTCTTCTGTCTGAGCTGAAGGTCTGCTTCCCAGCTGGAAACACAAACCACAGGGAATTCTTACTACACTACTCTACAGATTTTGGTAACTCTTCTGACATACACTAGTGGTTTATTACCTGAATTTCAGGTTTTTATACTAGGGCAGCTTCCCTATCCTGCAGCCTTCCAGATGGCTTGAGACCAACAGTCTCATAAAATAATACTAATTCTCACTTATTTGGGATGCTCCAACACATGCAATGGGCTGTAACCCAACCTTCTGTATACTCAGTTATAATTGATGAAAATTCTTAAGATGAAAACAGTCCTTGCATTGGTTATGATGAAATAAAAAGGAGGATACCACAGCAATTTTATATTATATTTTATATATATTTATAAAATAGTTCAAGAATAAGCTAACTTTGGTTTGGGTTTCAGTTGCTTACTCACTCCCTTGAACAAATAGTGTAAACAACTGTGATTTCTGATACCCACAGCGATCTGAATGATCAAAGCTGCATGACTGGTATATTTATTTTGTATTTTAAAAGTTTTATATTAATTAAATTCCTATAGCCGCCGATCATAGTTATAATCTAATACTATATCACTATTCTTCTCCCAAAATCATATGTCAGTTTATGGAAATGGAAGTGATTTTTACAACTCTGATGTTCTGCATATCATACAGCAGAGCATTTTCAAGAGAAGCAATTCTTAGAAACAGAAACCAATGGAAATAAACTAATATAGAGGGGTATGTTTTTTCAAAAGAAACAGTGCTCTTCAACTTAGCTCACCTGTATTTTGACAACATCTGAGGGTGCTTGGCCAAACTGGCTTCCACGGCTGCTCTTCCAGTCCCCAGGAACTTCTTTAACAAATCAAATCTTTTCAGCCTGTATAATAGTTCAAATAAGTTGATGGTGGTCAGCATCTCCTTTTCATTCAAAGCTGTTAACAGTTGTAGGCCACCAGGTGTAGAAACGTCAGACATGAGATCACTGCACAAGAAGACCATGATTTCCTTTTCATCTGTATCCAGTTCCTGTCCAAACTGGTATAGGAGGGATGCTGGGACACTGCAAAATATCATCACAGGCCACTACCCCTTTACAGAACTCTGTGTGTATTTTAAACAAGAAAAGCCACATCATGAGGCTTGCTTCTAAATGCAGAATCTGCCTTCCTTGTTGATCTTCAATATCCAGGCTTCGCTTTATGCCTTTTATATATCAAAAGACCATTGACAAGAAGAGAAGACCTAGACAAACCCAAATCATTTTAATCACACACAATGATTAAAGTTCACTGCTGGCACTCATTCTGCCATCTCATCCGCTGCTACATTTGTTCGGGCTGGGAACAGTATGAACTTTTTCAAATGAAGTGATGCTTAGGATGAATCAAAAGGGAATGTCCAGTTTTCAAGAAAGCTCCCACTATCACATAATTTAGAATGCCCAGAGGAACTGAAACTAAAATTAAACAAAACGTACTGTCAGGATCCAGTTATATTTCCTTTCTATCTATCTCCTCTAATCTAAAATCAATTATTACTATTTCCTGGGTCCTGCCATACTCCCAAGGGGGAGGGGGGACATGCAGAGCGGTTTTATTATTTTCACTTCCTCCATTCACTACAAAGTAACCTTTTGTTTATTCACCTCTACTAACCTTTACAATGGAACCATCTGATTCTTATCCTACGTCCCTCTGAACTGCTCTTCCTTATCGGGCAACTAAAAAAAAAGGGGGTGTGTGTGTGAAAAGACACAGACCTCTGGAATCTGGTTTATTTCTCTGATGTCAAGATAAACTCTGAAGAGCTGGTGAATGATTATGGAGCCGGTTTGATGTTCTCTTTCATGGGTTTAACACCTAGAGAATTGCCAGCCTGAGTCGGCCGGAAGGAATGTGGGGAGGAGTTTGCTTAGAGACACTTTAAAACATCGATGTATAAGGGAATCCTTCAGATTCTGTCTATTATGCCTACTATCAATTTCTTTTAATAAAAGTTCCTGTTGGAAGAGACTGTTTCCAAGAGTTCTGCTTTCTTAAGATGTAAATTAAAGTGGTTCCTTACATTAGACAGGATCTGCAGTAATAGTCAACCTGGAAGGAAAAACCTTACCAGGGGACTTTGCAAAAATTACAACGTCAGACAACGAGCCAGGGAAGGGAGAAAACCCCATGGAGAGGGAGGCTTCCCCCCCCCAACCGAAAACCTGCCAGCTGTCAGGTTCTGAAATGTCATACTCCTCAGTAGAAGAGATGGTGGAGACGCATAACCACAAACCTCGGTGGTCAATGGGCGTTGGAAAGAAAGGCGAGTGGAAAAAGAGATCGAGAAAGGTGACCCTGAGACGGGGCATCCACCCACCAGAATGGAAGCAGGAGATAAAGAAATCCCTGCACGTTAGCAAAGAAGAAGGAAGTTGTGCACAATACTTGAACTGGATCCTAGAGAAAGCTATTGACCTAATGAAAAGAACCCTCGGCTCTCTAGGGGAGGAGAATTTTGAGCCCTGTGGATGCACCAGCACCTGCAGCTGCAGCTGGAGAGACACTGAGGGGGAATTAGAACTTGTAGTCCCAGGGATGTCCACTGATCCAGTAGCAACTACTTCAACAGCCCCCACTCCCTGCCGACCCGCAGATGGCGATCAGGATGGAAGACATACCAACGACAGCGAAGGCACTGATCCATTCAAAGATTCCTGCCGCTGGACACGAAATTCAAGGGGAAGCCGACACGATTGGGGATTTTCCTAACCCAAGTCCTCAGCTACATGGAAGAATATGGGCGGCACATCCCTAGCGACAAAGCCCGTATCCGTATCGTGCAATCCGCTCTGTACGGACCGGCCGCAGATTGGGTGGTGAACCTGCACGATTCCGATGCCCCAGAGCTCAATGACTTCAACCGTTTCATGTCCTCTCTGAGAAGGCGTTTTGAGGACCCCCTGGCTGATCGCAAAGCCCATGAAAGAATCAAAACAGTGAGGCAAGGCAGATGCTCGGTAGCCGAATATATGCAAGAATTCCGGACCATTGCCAGCAAGCTGAACTGGCTGGAAGACATCCTCCTTAGCCATTTCAAAGACGGCCTAAAGTACGACCTGTATGACACTTGCCTGCCCCGGGGGGGGGCCACACCAACTCGACGAATGGTACGTCCTGGCAGAGGAAGCAGAGACTGGTCTACTGAAGAGGCACCGCCGAGGAAAACCATGGGGCCACTCACCGCCTGAGCTGACGCGCCAGCCAACGAAGCCACCGGCTATGGCCAAGAAGCCAACGGGCTGTTTCAAATGTGGGAGAGAGCGGCATTGGACTGTAGAATGCCGCTCGAAAGCCCCTCAGCACAACCCAGACCGATCATCGACCAGGAAATCCAGGAAGTCCCCAGCCAAGCCAAAAGAACCTGCCATAAAAGCGAGAGAGGCTGTGGAACCCCCAACCTCTGCCCAACATGGGGAGGGAACTCCAGCCTACACCGCAGGGCCGGTGGACACCTCAGACGACAGCTCAGAGGGCGAATCCCTGATAAGTGGACCCATCGCACCCCTTCTCAAGATAGTGACTATATTAGCCCCCTCCATGCCCGAAGCTGTCAAAGTGAAAGCATTAATAGACTCTGGTCGCACCCACTGCCTCATTAGCCTGAAGCTAGTGGGGAATTTGGGCATTCCGGTGAGGAGGCTAAAACAACCAATCTCATTTGGCCAGTTAGATGGGTCCATAGTAGGGGGGGGTGCCAGCTACCCTAGCCACTTTACCAGTCCAACTATCCCTGAGAAACCATGAGGAAGACATAACGTTTGTAGTGACCCCAGGCATGGAATGCCCAGTGATCCTAGGGCTGGAATGGTTAAATAAATCAAACCCCTGGGTAAATTGGAGGACGGCAGAAATCAATTTCCTGAAAGGGGACCCTACGGACTTAAACCTCCAAGGAATCCTACCAAAATTAAGAATGGAAAAAGCATCCATCAGAAAAGAAAAGGGACTACCCGAAATACCAGAGGAATACTGAGACCTTGCTGAAGTTTTCAGTGAGGAGAGGGCGGATGACCTCCCCCCTTACCGACCCACGGATTGTGCCATATAATTCAAGCCAGAGGCAAAACCCCCAAAGCCCAGATTATACTCCATGAGCCCTAAGGAGAAGGAGGAAATGGAAAGATTCATAAATAAAAACCAAGGAAGGGGGTTCATCGAACACGCCAAGCCTAAAGTGGCCACCCCGGTCCTCTTTAGAGAGAAAAAGGACGGCTCTTTATGCTTATCCATAGACTATCGCCTATTGAATGCAATCAGTGAAAGTAACCTATAGCCCCTACCCCTCATGAAGGACATGTTATCCCACCTCTCAAAAGGAAGAATTTTCACTAAACTAGATCTAAGGGAAGCATATTACCATGTCAGAATTAAGGAAAGGGATAAATAGAAAACCGCATTTAACTGCCCAATGGATGCTACCAATTCAAAGTTTTGCCATTTGGATTACAAAGGCCCCCCGCAGTATTTATGCAATTAATCAACGAGGTACTAAGGGGGCACCTATTTAAGGGGGTCCTGGTTTACTTTGACAATATCCTTATCTTCACCGAATCCAAACAGGAGAATGTCAACCTAGTCAGAGTGGTTTTAAAAAAACTGCGAGCTGCCCACCTATATGCCAAATTATCGAAATGCGAATTCCATCAGGAAAGAATAGACTACCTGGGTTATCGCATATCCCCACAGGGCATTGAAATGGCCCCTGAGAAGGTCAGAGCAGTATTAGAATGGGCACTACCTTGCACAAGGAAGCAGCTGCAAAGTTTCCTGGGTTTTGCACACTTTTACCGCCAGTTCATTCCCTCATTTGCCCAGATAGTGCTGCCCCTCATGAACTTACTAAAAATGAAGGAGAATCCTCAGTGAAACCTAGCCAGCCACTAAAATGGACAATGGAATGTCAAGCGGCGTTTGAGAGATTGAAGAGACTCTTTTCTGCCGAACCAGTACTGAGGCACCCAGACATGGATAAGCCCTTCATAATACAGGCGGATGCCAGTGATGTGGCAGTGGTGGCTGTACTATTACAAGAAAACAATGAAGGGGTATTACAACCCTGTGTGTATACATCCAAGAGACTCACCGAAATGAAACAGTGCTGGCCCGTGTGGGAGAAAGAGGTATACAGGATACATTGGTCATTACTCACGTGGCAATAAAATCTCTTTCCAGGTGTGGACAGACCACAAAAATTTGGAAGCTCTGAAAACATCCAGGAAGCTCAACCCCAAGCAAGCCCGCTGGTTCCAGCATTTTCACCAATTCCACTTTACGTTCAAACTTTGCCGGGGGGAAAAAACTCGCATGCCCCAATATAACAGCATGCAAGCCACCAATTCTAAACCACTTATGGCGGAATCACAACTGGCAGCGCCAGTAACTACCAGAGTCCAAGCTAAATTAAAACCGCAGCTGGGTAGCCAAACTGAAATTGAATTCTGGAAAACTTTGGAAACAGATGAATGGTTCCAGAAAAATAGACACGTGTGCACAATCAAGGACGGACTGCCTTGGGTGGGGGAAACATTATACATACCAACCACCCAGAGGGTCACATTCATGCAGCTTTGCCATGACACAAAATCAGCAGGGCATTTTGGATTTGTAAAAACATTACACTTAATTAAAAGGCAATTTTGGTGGCCATCCATGAAAAAGGACATAGAAAGTTACGTGGCCAGATGCCCAATGTGCACAATTGCAAAGAAGTTGCAAGGGAAATCACCCGGACTGTTACAAACAGTGGAAAAACCCTCAGCCCCCAGGAGGGAAATAGCCATGGACTTTATAGTGGAACTACCAGAAAGCAATGGAAATACTGTCATCTGGATGGTTACAGACTTATTTTCCAAACAGGTGTACTTTATCCCTTGCCAAAAGATCCCCGCTGCAAAAGCCTTGGCGAAACTTTTTGTGCAGTACATTTACCGATTGCATG